ATATTATATGTGAGAACTCGCTTCAAAAATGGTAGAGCTTCTTCAAAGCACACAGCAACTCGCTTCTTTTTAAGGGCCTTTTTGCCCAATTTTATTTAAAGGAAAGAGTTCAATAACCAAAATGCTTCCCACGCAGGGGTATCCACCAGCACACAAATGTAACAAATGTCAGCCTTCTGGCTGGTACACTGATTTCCGTCTGTCTCCTGCAGACTCTATCCAAAAATGGCTTTCCCGCACACAGCTAGCCAATAGCACACAGCTTGTCTGGCTTCCACCTGACTCCAAGGCAGAGACCTCCTGTCTGCCGAAGAGGAGCCCTCCTGATTCCTGTCTGCCGGGGAGGAGCCCAGAATCATGGCCTGACCTCCACAAAAAAGCCTGCACACACCTGTGCAATCATTGCGCTGGCTGCTCCCAAAATATGGGCCCAGGATTGGAGATTTCATCCCTCCCAAATCTCTTAGAAATCTCCAGGCTACAGGTCCCAAAACAGGCTTTACAAACCAAAGAGGAAACTGATAAGCCAGTTTCCCCTGCATTATGAGAACTGCCTGGAGCCCCTCAACCTGTATGGTTGAGAATCCTGGGTCTCCATCGTGATTTCCACTGTGGCAGGATACCGCACTGCCACAATACACACACATCGCATGCGTTTTTATTACAAAATATATGAAAAATATTTTAAAAATGCATTTCAATTATACTGTATGTCTTTAAAAATACAAATCTACATTTTTGGAATGCATATGTAAAAATATATGTTAAAAAGACTTTTTTATATGTAAAAAAAAAAACTGAAGAATATATTTAAAAATATATATTTTTAAAAAATATATTGTTTTTAAATATATTTTTCAGATTTTGTTAACATATAAAAAAGTCATTTTGAGACTACATATTTGGTATCTATTTATTTGACATAGTGTCATCTTTTATATTTTACCAAAAAACAAATTGGACATTATATTGTGTTTGTGTGCCCTAAAACTATTATGAGTGTATCTTCCCCTAATATCTAGATTAACACCCCATTTACACTTGTGTGACTTGTCTTGTGACTTTAGACATCAAAGTTGCATGACAAGTCACACCCCAATGAAAACCATGTTTCCAATGATAACCACAGACCAATGATAACCATGTTTCCAATGATAACCATTCAAATTCACTCACTGGCCACTTTATTAGGTACACCTTGCCAATGCCAAGAAAATCTCCCCCACACCATTATGCCGCCACCACGAGCCTGAACCGTTGATACAAGGCAGGATGGATCCATGCTTTTATGTTGTTTACACCAAATTCTGACCCTACCATCTGAATGTTGCAGCAACCAGTCTGCCCATTCTCCTCTGACCTCTGACATTAACAAGACATTTTCTCTTTTTTGCACCATTCTCTGTAAACCCTAGAGATGGCTGTGAGTAGAAATCCCAGTAGATCAGCAGTTTTTTAAATACTCACACCAGCCCGTCTGGCACCAACAACCATGTCCCGTGAAAGCCCCTTAAATCATCTTTCTTCCCCATTCTGATACTCGGTTTGAATTTCAGCAAGTCGTCTTCACCACGTCTAGCCTAAATCCATTGAGCTTCTGCCATGTGATTGGCTGATTAGCAATGTGCGTTACCAAGCAATTGAACAGGTGTACCTAATAAAGTGGCCAGTGAGTGTATGTATGACTTAAAGTCGCAGAGGCTTCAAAGCATTCAAGCACCACTTTGGTCTTACTTTCTTGCAACTTGAGGGTCATAGACTTCAATATTAAACCTCAAAAGTTGAATGAAAGTCATACCTGAATATTTTACATGCACAACTGATGCAACAGTGGGTCCGACTTTGCAGAGGGATAACAAGTCACATCCAAGTTCCACCATCCAAATATTCTGTTAGAGGATAAAAAAATGCAACTATTACCAATTTATTCTACAGTGAAAGCATTGTAACAGTTTTGGCAAGGGTTCAGATAAATGAGACTTAGTTCGTATTACAGCCACTTTAGAAATGTATGGTTGTGAAAGGTCAAAAAGAATTGCCATGCATAATTAAACTATAGGTAGCTAACACCAACTCTAAGTTGTTGGGGGGGGGGGGGGGGGGGGGTTGGTTAGTATTTATCTTTACTATACAATAGTGTATTTGCTTCATGGGTTGCTAGGACTCAGGCCACCAGCATCCTAGCAACCAATGAAGCAAGTACACTACTGTCAGTAGCAGAGCCTGATAGAGAATGGATTGTTCCCCAATAGGTTGCCTGCTTTGTGATTGACACCAGAAGGCAGTGGGTGCTGTGATATCAGACAAAAACTTCATGATCGCTGGGGCCTATTGGGCAGGGTGAGCCCAATAACTGAAATTTCAGTGCAGACGTGTGATGGAATTCTTAGAGATTCTTATAAATTTCATGGATAATGTTTTGGGGTTTTAAGTAATTTTAAAGTCCAAAATGTATATTTCAACACATGATGGAGGCAACAAAAGGAATAATTAACTGTTAAACTACAGTTTTTATAAACTTTGCTGCATTAAACATATTTTTTTATTTAGACCCAAGCTATGTTTCAATGCAAACAAACAGATATGTTGTACTTTGAAATTACCAGCAGGTGAGGATGTTCAGCTATTTTCAACTATAGATATTCAGCTTCATGTCTACCATAAAAGGATGAGACTGAAAAATATGACGTTACATGATGCATCATTTTATAATTAGGACATTAATTTTTATGTAACAGATCTTCAATTTTCTTTCCTTCTTCTTTCTCTTTCTTTCTTTCTTTCTTTCTTCTTTCCTTCTTTCCTTCTTTCTTTCTTTCTTTCTTTCTTTCTTTCCTTCTTTCCTTCTTTCTTTCTTTCTTTCTTTCTTTCTTTCTTTCTTTCATTCTTTCTTTTCTTTATTTCTTTCTTTTCCTGTGCAAATCACATGCAATTTTCTGTGCGGTGCAATTTGAGCCATACATTTTGTATGGAAAATAATTTCTCAGTTTGATCTCGCAGTCTGAGGAGGGCTGCATCACCAAGATTTTATTCCAAAGGCCATCAATACATCTGATTCCCTGGTTTCTTTCTTTCTTTTCTATCCTTTCTTTCTTTCTCTCTCTCTTTCTTTCTTCTTCTTTTCTTTCTTTCTTTCTTCTTTATCTCTTTTTCTCTCTTCTTTCTTGTTCTTTCTTTCTTTCTTTCTTTCTTTCTTTCTTTCTTTCTTTTCTTTCTTTCTTTCTCCCTCTCTTTCTTTCTCCCTCTCTTTCTTTCTCCTTTCTTTCTTTCTTCTTTCTCCCCCCCTCTCTCTCTCTCTCTTTCTCTCTCTCTCTTTTTTAATCTTTCTTTCTCCCTCTCTTTATCTCTATCTCTCTTTCTCTTTCTCTTTCTCTCTTTCTCTCTCTCTCTTTCTCTCTTACCAAGATTTTATTCCAAGGCCATCAATACATCTGATTCCCTGGTTTCTTCTGGCATTGACCCCTTTTGAGGCGCTGTAGAGTTAGTATTTTGTATGGCTCAAATCACACCACATCTGCACCAAAAAAGTGCAAGACACTTTATTTGTCTGCACCTCCGTTTGAGAAAACAAACAGATATGTTGTACTTTGAAATTACCAGCAGGTGAGGATGTTCAGCTATTTTCAACTATAGATATTCAGCTTCATGTCTACCATAAAAGGATGAGACTGAAAAAATATGACGTTACATGATGCATCATTTTATAATTAGGACATTCATTTTTATGTAACAGATCTTCAATTTTCTTTCCTTCCTCCTTTCTCTTTCTTTCTTTCTTTCTCCCTCTCTTTCTTTCTTTCTTTCTTTCTCCCTCTCTTTCTTTCTTTCTTTCTTTCTTTCTTTCTTTCTCCCTCTCTTTCTTTCTTTCTTTCTTTCTCTCTCTCTCCCTCTCTTTCTCTCTTTCTCCCTCTCTTTTTCTCTTTCTCCCTCTCTTTCTCCCTCTCTTTCTCTCTCTTTCTCTCTCTTCTCTCTCTCTTTCTCTCTTTCTCTCTCTCTCTCTTACCAAGATTTTATTCCAAGGCCATCCACATCTGATTCCCTGGTTTCTTCCTGGCATTGACCCCTTTGAGGCGCTGGAGAGTTAGTATTTTGTATGGCTCAAATCACACCACATCTGCACCAAAAAAAGTGCAAGACACTTTATTTGTCTGCACCTCCGTTTGAGAACTGATTTTGGTTTGTTGTTAGCTTAACCACTTGCCATCCGGGCGCTGTATATAAATGGCCGGGCGGTGGCAGTCCAGGGGTGGGTTGTCGTTCATAAATGGTGCCCGCCATTATGGACTGTGCGCGCTCCCTGGGAGCGTGCAGCACCGCGATCCGGTGCCCGCTGTGTCCTCCGGACACAGTAGAACACCGATCGTCATAAGGGACCTCTGTGTGAGGTCCCGATCATGTGATCACTGATTGGCCAATCAGTGATCAAATGTAGAGTAGTAAGCAAGATGGCACTTCTGACATCATTGCTTACTACGTGTGAAATCTGTGAATGCTCACAGAGGTCACATGGTATAAGGCTATTCACAACAGCCGTGTACCATCACAGCTCATACAGTAGTTCTCAATGGCTGCAAGAATGCAGCCAGAGAGAAGGAGAAATTATTGCTGTTGCTAATCACCAAATTTCGAACAATAAATCGTTCAATGGACATAAATGAATCAGTTTTTCATTTTTTTTCTGTCATATATGCGCAGCACAAACAGTTTGATTTTTAACAGGCGAGAAACACATTAACCTTTCAATTAATCATCTGTTCGGCAGACGTTTTCTGACCTTTGATTTTTTGGCAAAAAAAGAATTAAAACCGATTTTCTGTTTATGCTCATTAACTGGATGAAAAACAAACTGTCCAAGGGATGGATTTTCAAAAATGTTTTCGTCTAATGTATGGTCATCATAACTCTCCCTGTATCGGCTGTCAGCTCTCCCTAAGCTGCTTTAATACATACACTGACAAATGGCTGCTGGGAACCCACTCTTAGTATAGTGATTGGGCTGG